CAAGCCTATTTTCAAGCCTCTGGTTTTGTGTTTCCACGCGAGCCCTTCTGCCCTAATTAGAGTTACTTTTAACTCTCCATTTAGTGGCACATTCGTGTGCAATTTGGGATTCTCGTGACTCACCAGCGTGCCCCTGGCAGAGGCTCTGTGTTTTTGTGAGGCCGTGGTGCTGCTGCGTGCGTCTGTGAGTCTCTGTGTTGCTGCTCTCCGTGCTCTTCCCCCTCTAGGTGGTAAAATACCCTGGAGGAAATTAATGCCCGTGTTGCTGTAAACACAGCCAGGATGGATGTGGATAAAGAGATGCCCTTGAAAAAATCGCTGTCTTTCTGAAAAGCACCATTTTGTGGACACGGATGGGTTTGTTTGAGACGGGTCACGCTGATCTCAGGGCGCAGGTATGGGCACGGAGCTGTAGGTGGGACTTGTGGAGGGCATTGCTTCTTGCTGTTCAGAAAACAAAGGCTTTGCACGGCCTTTATTAACCACTTGTGAGACGTGCAACAACCAAAATCAACACCGTTGTGCGTTTACAGGTATTTCAGCATCGTGCTCTGTGCTTCTCTCACCTGCTGCTTTGTAGGCCTCAGCGCAAGCCTGCGTGGTTCAGAAAGGATCAGGAAAGGAGGTTTTAAACACACCTGATTCCAAAATGTTGTTTCAGAGTCATTTTACTCTTCTTTGACTGAACCCAACTGTCATCTGCTGAAGACAAATCGGAGCTGAAAAGCCAAGGTCTTGTAGCCATTGACATCAAAGGGAGCCAGCATCTCCTGGTGTCATGGAAAATACGGCCGCTTGAGCTGTCGTAGGGTATTAATTTCCACTCAGCTTTTATATTCAGTGTAATACTTTTAGGCAGGACGTTAATGGGCACTTGAGGCCTTTATATAACAGATAAACAGTAAAAAGCTCAGAGACAGCAAGAGAGATCTGGTGTGGGGGATGCTAACCAAGTAATTAACTATGCAGAATATGCCTGGATCCAAAGTCACACGATCCTTTAAAGGTCAGCTATTCATTGCTCAGGTTTTGACTGTGTTCTTTGATTATCTGATTATTTTAAATGCAGATTATATAAATTGTGTGCATGTAGTTGTTATAAAAGTTACCCTTAACCCCACAGTTCATTCCTATGTTCCTGCCAATGAATATTGCAGTAACTGAGAGGAATGGGGTTGACGCTAAATTGACACTAAATAAAGAGCTAAAAGTACAGAAATTTCCTTGGGTAATTAAGAGTTAGATAAGTGATAAGTGCACAGTTTGGAAACTCCCGTCGTGGCAATACCCCATAACAAAAATATTCCCCAGAGTCACGAAGGGTTTGATGTTCCAACACGATACTTTGTGATATGCTTAAGGAAAGGGTAGATAACACCACAAAGGAGCTGAAATTTGATTCTGAAAAGGAAAGTCTGTTGTGATGCTGAATGACTCCTGTATCGGATAATAGTGAGGTTAAAACATAAGGAATGTGACTTCCAGCTCTGAGAACTGGAGAAGCTGGATTTAAGGTGAAAGTGAGAGATCCTTTGAGTAGGACTCTCTCATCCTGAAACTAATGCCATACTCTTTAGCTGCAATTAAGTGAGACAAGACTAAGGCTTAGAGAGGTATTTGGAGCCTAACCACGTACAGAGAAAACTGTGGATGGCTACTTCAGTTCTGTGAGCAGGCATAAAAGCCAAACAACAAAAATACGGTACGAGAAAACACGCACAGCTGTCGAACAAGATAGAACTATGAAAATACAGCTCAGCACGGAAGGGCAATGACCGTAAGTGAGGAAGGTCATTTAACCCCGAAGTTCCCCTACCTGGGACTTTCCAAGGAAAGTACATAACCTTGCAGCAGTGCTCCCAGGAGAGTCGTTGTTGGAAAAGAGCTGACACAGCAGAGCTCAAATAAACGACGATGGAGCTCTCCGTTCTTTGGTACCCGTGTGAGCACCAGCAGTGGAAGGACTACCGGAGCTGGGATGAGCTGGAGGGAAATGTGACTGAGAAGTAAGACAAGAACCTGATACTCTGCCAAAAATAGAGCGTTTCTGTAGTTTTTAAATACATGTATTGATTCAAATGCAACGGTGATACAAAGGGAATTTAATAAGGCTTTATTTTTAGTGCTGTCTTTAACGCTTCTCTGTACAGCTTGGTGAAATGTACAGGTGTTACTATATTGGTTTTTCTTTTAAAACCTCCTAAGTGCTTTCAGGTACCCATAAGCTTGCTCTAGGGTATTCATGTGGAGAAAGATAAATACCAATGTTAAGCATAAAATTTCACTCTCTGTTTTCCCTAAGATTTCATTTTATGATAGACGTTAGATTGCATAGGATCCCAAAAAGCTCTTTTCTAAAGGAGTAAAAATAATTTAAAACTAGAACAGTTTGCAGCCTAATTTATGCTTTTCAGATGATTAATGACTGGCAACCACATTTGTTACAGAATTAATGGAATTCCCCATAAAGCTTTCATGTACCTTTTCCCAAAGGGGGATTAGACCAGTGACTTCCAAATATTGACCAAAACCCCTAAATAAATTCTCCCTAAGTACTCTGCAAGTCTTCTCTTCAGAGGTCTGTTAAGCTTGCCTAGTGGGAACAAAAATTGTGCAAAGAAATGTTAGAAGGGAAATGTGGTTCTCAGCTGGTGATTTTGACTCTTCGTTAACATTTTCTTCTGCATAATAACTGGGCCAGGGACCCTCCCAGGGTTGTATACCAACATTACCAAGGAAGTGTCAGTGGACTAAGGTGCAGTGATTTGTGTTACACTTATTTATGTCATGCCAGCCAAGCTGCAGGAGAAAAATGCCCTGTTAAAGATTAACCATCCCGTGCTCACTGTTGCAGGGTTTAAAAGAGCTCTTGAGTTCAGTTTTACTTTCAAAGATGCTGGGATTCAGCAAAACGAGAGTGGTCTTGGTGTGCTTTCTCTGTCCAAATGGTGTTCGTAGTGTGGTTTAGATACAGAAATGTCTCACTTTTCATTTCTGCACCAGGAGTTAGAGCTTAACGCTTTTTGTTCTCTTGCTATGACTCCATTCCTGTCTCAAGAAGGCAACAGCGATGGCAGTGCCTTTAGCTGGCATTTCCCAGCCCTGTGCTTAGCAGCCTTGAGCTTTGACCAGCTTACGAGGTCAGTGTTTCGTAGAAATCACAGAGTCATCGAATGGTTTGGATCGGAAGGGACCTTGAAGACCATCTGCTGAAATGAAACTGATGCAGCTTCCAGGCTCACAAAAAGGTTGCCAGGGTGAAATGACTCGTACATGTGGAGCACCCCAGCAGCAGCACACCAAGCCCGCTGCTGAATTGTTCACAGGGAGCCGAGTTTCTGCTCAGTGCGTGTGGTGAAGGAGGAGCAGGGCTATGGCTTTCCTGGCATGGGGACGGTGGATTTTGCAACCTCAGTGTTGTTTCTCAACATCAGCAGCTGGGACTCAGGAGAATAGACCAGGCTGTTTTCAAGCAGTTATTTTACATGTGTTTTAATCAAATTTATGAAGGTTGACTACGGAGTTAAAGAAATGACTGGGAATTCCCTGTGAAATTCACAGTTTTATAGTTAGTTACTTGAACTGTAAGCAGAGAGGAGGCCCGAATGGTTTGTGCACTGTGTACGTTCAGGTGTGTGGTGCTGGTCAGCCAGGGACTGCCGAAGGGTTTTTCCATCCTGTTCCTCTCCTGTGACAACCAGTGACCTCAGCAGGTTTGGAAAGGCAATCCACGCAGTCATTTTCTCAACTACTTGAACGTGTTGTAAAAGGGTAACAGAGGAACCAGGTAGGCAAGCTTAGCAAGTAACTATTGATCAGATACGCCCGCAGAAAAAGTTGCAGGTATAATCTTGCAAATAGTCAGCTACAAATGAGAATTAAATTTGCATTTTGTCAGCATAAATGGGTATGTTGTTTTTTTTTTTTTCCAAGTTATATTAGCACCAGCAGGACAGTGATTTCTGTGTCCTTTCCTTTTGTCCCCCCAGCCAGTGTCCGTGTGAACTGGCTCAGCACTCAGGCCATCTGAACGTGTCGAGGCGGCGGTGCTGCTCTCTTAGGAAAGGCATTCGTGGTGTTTTCTCCAAAACCACGGGGTGCTTCAGCTCATCTCCATCAATAATGAACGAGCAGTGTCCTAGCAACATCTAGAAGGCAGTGGCTGGGACTGAGCCCTCCTTTAGTAATGAGGCGAAACACAAGATCACTGATGACAAATGCAGGATAATTAACTGTGCTGGACGCAGTTTGTTCATTGTCAAACTCTGCATTTATGCACTGTGGCGTGGTATTTTTAGGTGGAAGCTTGCATTGGGTAGCCCTTGGAAGAGTTCATGTAGGGAGGGCACCAAGGACAGGATGCTGCTCTGTGAGTGGGATGTGGGGATTACAGGAGGTTCAAACCATTCAGAAAATAAAGCAGGCACCATCCAAAGTGTGCTTTGTTTGTTTTTTTTTTTTAAGAAAAAAGGAAAAAAAGAGGAAGTTAGAAGGCTTACAGATAAAATACAGTATAGACTAGGACACAGTATCACCCATTTGAAAACAGTATAGCCATTTATGAAGTATATATACCTTGCATAAAAGTATTAATCTCTTTTAAAAAAAATAACTTTATGATGTGAAATATGGAAGAACTTCAGTGTATGCTTCCTTCTATTTAGTTGCACTGTTAACTTTTCTTCTTTCCTGGTGTTTTCTGATAGGAAAACTCTGCTTCCAAAAGGCACAAGCACAAGCGGGTTAAGGGCTGTGTGTCTCCGCGTCCATAAATAATCGTCTTTCATTTAAGGTTTAAAATACCAAACGGAATGTTTCCAGTAGGTTGATAACATAAAAGCAATGACATTACATTTGCTGTGCAGTATCAGAGAACTAATCTTATGCTCCTGAGATTATTTCAATTTCTGCAATCCTTTCTGATTAATCTGTGCTATTACAGGCTTGATGTTACATTAAAAGAATTAAGGAAAGATCTGCGGGAGGGTAGACTCTTTTTTTCTGTGTTGATGTAATAATCATTAGCTTAAGAGATTCCTGGTTCACGTAATACCAAAATAATACAGAGGAATTAGAATGCCCTTTCAGTAACAAATATTTCTGCTTTATTTTATGCAGTATTATGGAAATGAATTGCTCTTTACCCTAGTGTTTTCAAAGGCCATGACTATACGTTTGTTGCAAAAGCAGCTAAATTTAATTAAAAGTAATGAATTTAGCATTGTCTGAAGCATGGTTATATGAAATCAATGGATTGCCATCCATGCCAATTTCTCTGGAATTAGCTGAACTTGCTGTCATTAGCCCCAGCGTGCCTTGCAGAACATTAATGAATCTAAAAGTCACTTCCAAAGTTTGCAGTGGGATCACGACTGATGCAATCTTTTAGCAGATTCGATGCAATTTCAACTCTATTAGGCTACCTTGTGTTCTAGCAGCCCAGATTTTGTTAATTTTTTTTTGTTATTATTTGTCAAGCATTCCTAACATGAGAAGCTAAGCAGTGAGAGTAAACCACTCTCATAAACATCTGACGATACATTTCTTCTTAGGATGAATCACCCAGCTCAACGCGCCTGTCACTCTGATTCTTACAGAAGGAAAAATAAGCTCAAATCCAATATTTTTCTTCTCTTGGGGTCATCTCTTTATGCTTTCCAGAACATTGTCATGGTAACTCATTATCTTTTATGTGTTTTTTTTTTTAGCATGAATTATACAGGTCATTTTTGTCTCCCTCTTCCCCCACTCCTGCTGGGGTTGGCGTCAGCAACCACTCCTCGGGGAAGCAAATCTGGAGCCGTGTGGGGAGGGATGTGGCTCCCAAAAAGCCTGCTGGAGGGTCAGGTGTAGCTTGGCTTGTGTTTTGGCACTCAGGCAGCAGCTCCACAGGTGTCTTCATGGAATAGGGATGGTTGGACAGTACAGCATCTAAAACAAAGCATAAAAAAAAACAAATTGAATCCAGAACTTGAGGGCTTCCCAGCAGTGCTGGGACAAGTCATTTTATTTTATTTTATTTTGAGATCTGCATTTCTTTATCATCATAGCCTTAAAATGAGTCCTTATGAGCCGTGAGGGTTGTATCTTGCTATTTCTGTCCATGTCAGAGAAGCAATTCCACGATGGCGATCGCAATTAATGCTGCCTGGTGGTGGCGGGGGAGCTGGCCCAGCAGGGACATGCTGAGTGACGCTTAAAGGAGGTCTCAGAGACTTGGACTGTCCTGTAATTTCCTCACCTGTTGGGTTTTAGGGGCAATTACTGCTCTCAGGTCAGTGCTACCTCTCTGCACATTCTTTTGGTTTGCTCACCGGCCATTTCCAGATACTTCCTTTCCACCTATAGCTCATTATTCATGAAGGATTAGGAATGGGATAACCAGGAATGTGCCATTTTGGTTATAGGAAGGGAGAACTGGGCTGTATCATCATCACTCCTAGCTTTAAGCTGCTCCCATCTGGGCTGTGAGGCTCCGCAGCTCACGGGAGAAGTGCTGATTAACTGAAGCCAACAAAACCTCTCTATAAAATGCTCTCAGGGATCTCTTGTCCTCTCTGCGTGCCAAGCACACCCGCAGGGAGCATCGTTTCTGACCCTTTGGAAAGCCTGGCTTGTCCCCAAAAGGCATTACAGCTTTCTGTGGGCCATCAGCCCCGAGCAGGAGGAGGGAGGGATGCTCTCTTAGCCAGTAACGCTGCGGCGAGGTGTTCAGAAAATTTATGTTTTTAATGTATGTGCAAGCTCATGCTGAGTGTGCAGTCCTTCAGTTTCAGCTGGAAGGGCAGCGGGGTGTAAGTTGTTAGCTTATTAGGTGGTTGTCCAATATTTATGCATTTATTTTCCTACTGAAATAATGATATACTTACAATTTGGGATGTTACTTAGAGGGTAATATCTGCGGTGTTTTATGAAAAATGTTTCAATATAATTAGCAAAGTTTGAGGAAGCAGGAGAGTTGACATTTTTGATAAATCGAAAGATTTCTTCTCATCCTAACTCCTGCTGCTGAGGCAGGTTTTATCTTTAGCACGTGCGTGCATTTCCTCTTACTCCAGAGAAGCAGCATTTTAGTACTTGTTTGTGAAATGAAAAAAAAAAATTGATAGGCTGTAGATTTACTCTGAGAGCAGTATTTTGTCTTTGCCATGTAACTCTTGCCTTGGAAGCCATGTGAGTTTAGTTTCTGCCTGTGGCTGTTGCTGGAAGAGGCAAGTGTGCTGTGCTCCTCGCCCGCCCGCTGCCCTGCTCGCTCCCACCTCACACGCACTGACCGGTTCCTCAGTGCTCCACAAAACGTTTTGTTTTATGTACCCCCAGCTGGCTTTTCTGTTTACAGCCTAATTTGCTTGTACTGTAAATTGTGCGATATTCATCTGGTGTTAAAACCTCTCTGATTTAACCCCAATCCTGCTGCGTTGCTGGAAGCAAAGCCCAGGGATGCTTTGGTGCACCAGGAATAAATCTCAAGGTATTTTTTTTTTAGATGGGCGTACAGAGATAATTCTGTTTGACGGAAAATGGTTGGGTAGCTTATAATGTATGTGGCTTTACATATCCTCGCGTTTCTTATGCCTTATGTAACGATGTGTGAAAGCCTCCGAAGGCAGGTTGTCATTCTCTGTTGCAGCAAAGTTATATTGAAGTCTGACGGTCATGGCTTCAGCATCTTTATTTACCAGCGATCCACTTAATTACTTACGTAAGGTATACTTGGTATTTTTCCTGGTGAACAGAAGAGGCAGGAGATTTGCTCGGCTGTGGAATATTCAGTGATCTGGAAAGAAAAGGGACATGTAAAAGAATTTGTTATCTGTTGCTTAGCCTTGAGGATTGAATAGGTCTTTAGAAAGCAGAAAGATTAATTTCTATAGGAAATGTTGTGTCAGAAATTTCTTTGATTCAGTCCTTTGCACATCTGATTAAGTGGAGAAATAAATTATTCTCAGTTTTAATCACCTATCATAGAATGGTTGGGCTGCAGCCCAAAATAAGGCAACACTTCTAAATTCTACCACTTTGGATAATAAATGATATTGGAATTCTGGCTTCGACGGTTCTTTTAATTAAGAAAAAGCCTCCTTAAGTGAAGCACTTTGCTTATCACAGTATCACAAACTGTTAGTAAAAATAACATTTCCTTGCTAGCAAGGGAACGCATTACTTGAATGTAAAACTGTTTTATCAGCTAGTCCTTTCTAAAACCACTTAATGCCGTTGCAAGCAAAAGAAAATTAGGAAGGCCAAAAATGAATGTGGGCTTTTAATCACAACAGGAGGTACCTGGATGTTCGAAACGTTTGAAGGCAAGTTCGGATCCTGGTGACACTACTGGTTTGGTTTTTACTTACACAAAGGGCAGCCACATCTAACAATTCTAGTCTTATGCAAAATATGAAATGAAATCATCGTGTCTGAAATCCTTGGTGGGGAGGATGGGCACGCAGCACGTTGTCTGAAAATGAGACTTTTTAATGTGAAATAGAGGCTAACCAAACAAACCCTGCATTTCTCTCTCTCTCTTGGTTCCCTGAAGGCCATAGAGAGCTCCGTGTGTAAAGGTGGAGCTGGCTCCTTCTGCCCTTGCACAAAACGTGGAGTTGCTCTCCTGGCAGCCGTCAGCAGAGGAAAGTGGTCCCTGGTCCCCTGAACCTGCTTGGGTTTGGGTTGTTACGGCTGCCATCACCACCTTGGAGTCTTTGTTCGGTTACTGAGCAATTTTCTGTCCCCTACAGCTTGGCAGGGAGCTCTCCTCACCTCTGTCAGGGCTTTGTCCAAGCTCTTTCCACCTGGGTCAGCAAATATTTGTGAGCAGCAACCTTCCCTCTCCTTGGGCCAGCGAGTGTGAAGCGTGGCACCGTCTGTGCCCCGCCGATTGCACCAGGACCAGCATCTCCCTTGATACTCCTTGTGCTCAACCTCCTCACTGCTGCTTCCTCACTGGGACATTCACCCGCTACGTGGGACAAGCAGCAGTCAAGATGTCTCAGCATCCAAAGCAAATCTCTTGCCAGAACTTAAAACACCAGAAGTGTCGAGGTCACTGGGAACCTTTTAAAGTAGCTGGTCAAAGCGATGCTACAGAGAACAACTGAAAACTATTTTAAGTTTTGGCTGTGTGAGAATTGGTTTTCTAAAACCACTTTTTTTTTTAAACTGTAGTTCCTGAGATAGAGAAAGCCCTCCTTCTCCTAGTATTTTTCTAGTAGATAGCAAGAGCACTGATGTTTATAAAGACAGTCTCTCGTATAAATATTTTTTCAGCTCCCTGTTGTTATTGGGGGGGAAAAAAAAACACACAAAAAACAAGCAAACTTGGAAGATGGAAGAACTGATTCATGGCTGGGGGGAGTGTGTGTTTCTTGGATGTTTGTTTTGCAGCTCCTTTTTGTAGCCCGGGCTTGGGAGGGAAATGGGAGGAGGATGGGAAAGCGTGTGCGGAGAAAACCAAGACGGTTGTGGGAAGTGGCTGCCCGGTCCCACTGCTTCCCGAGAGGCTCAGTTTGGTGGTGGAAGGGCAGTGCGGTTCTCTGTGTGCTTTGAACCTGGCTTTCCAGCCTGAAAGCAGGGCTGTTCGTGCTGTTTCCATTGCACACGTGTGTGCTCTGACAGCCCTACTCATGCACGGACACACTCCTTCCCTAAAAACCTCTTCCACCTCCAGGAAGGGCTCAGCAAAGTCCAGGTTTCTGTCCTGCGTGCCGTGCTGCAGAGCTTCCAGGCACCTCCACTTCATGCTTCTAGTATGAAGCATCGACCACAGCAGGTCCCCCTCCAGCGGAGGGGCTCACGGCGCTGTCATCGCGTGCTTGGTGGCTTCAGATAAGCAGTCAGCGAGTGTTTGGTAGTCTGGTGATGTTCCTGTTTGTTAGCTTCTGGGTTTGTTTTGAATGAATGACTCGTTCTGGTTTGGTTTTGCTTAATTGCGAGGCATCCGAATGGGCTGAAAAAAATTTATAGCACTAAGAAATATCTAAAAGGATGCCTTGTTTCTTGCTGAGGATACCAGATATGTCCTGCTCTTAGAAAACAGCTACAGGGAGTGATCAGTTTTGGATTTCAGAGCTCAGTCTTCTTTTTTTTTTTTTTTCCTCTCTTTTTTCTTTATATTTGGAACTTTGTGGAGGATATAAACTAGCTGAGCATTACGTGAAATTAAAACCCAGCTCTGAGCAACCTGATTTATCACCCCCTCCTTCATGTTCCAGGTTGGCACACGTGAGAACGTGGTAATTACTCAACTATTGTCCCATCCACAAAGGAAAGTTTTGGCTGTAACCAAGAGTGTCCTTCTGCTCAATTTACAGTCCTTTTCACTGACAAAACCTGAAGAGGAAAAATGCTACCTTAGGCCAAAAACACCCCCAGCAGAGCTGGGAGCTTCGGTCTTCTCCTGTTTGCTCACGCTCACCTTGTGATTAAGCTGTAAAATCAGCTTCTGCAGATCTTAAAAGCTGCATAGGCAGACCTTTCCCTGGGGAAATCCGTTCATGACCAGCAGCACGCGTGACTCGGGGTGCACAGTTGTAGCCAGAAAGCCACAGATGCCAGCAGGAGTTTGGCCCTGGAGTTCATCCTGTTGAGGACTATGACCCGGGGCTGTGAAGCGTGGCGCCGCCAGTCGTTGCAGGAAAGGTCAAGACAGAAATTATCCCGTGGCTGTGGCACACGTGTTGGGAAAGATGAGGTCAGGTTATGGAGAGAAGAGCTTTTTTCAGACGTTGTCTATGAAACAAGACTTGTAACGTGTTACTGATGCTCAGAGTGTTTTAGGCTGGCAAGAAAAGCTTCTGCTTCTGCAGTAGCTCTTCTGTGAAAGCGAGCTCAAAATTGTTTTCCTATCTGAAAACAAGGATGTTAAAGCTGGGGAGATTTAGCGGAGGTAGCTGAAGAGGCATCGGCTCTGCAGTCCCGATCTGCTGCCTTTGCACCAAAAGCTGTGCGGTTGGGCTGACGCTGCCCTGTTCTGTCCATTTCAGAGGGAACGACTCACTCCAGCAAGGGTACGTTGTCTGGTTTCAGCACCGTGCTTCCAAAAGGCTCAGGTTGTTAACTGGCTGCCTGCTTGAGATTTGCCTTTTCCAGTGCTTCCTAATAAAGGAATGTATAAGGAGATGTTTCTGGGGTTTGTTTAGGCATTCTTTTGCAATCTCCTAAGCTTGCAAACACATCTTCCTCAGGCAGATGCAACCAATGTTTTTAATAACTCTTAATCAGAGAGGAATCCACAGGAAAGCCCACTGCCAAATGGAGTTAAGCTGTCTAATGCCTCACCAGACATTCTTTTGTGCACTCTGACCGGCTGTAATTATGCCTTGTAGAGGTATTCAGGGTATTTTACATGCGGGCTGTAGTGCCAAGATACTTTCCATAAGATGTGTTGATAACCATTGTCGACGACAAGAAAAACATCCAAGTCCTGGGCTTCCTATCTGTGTTGCTGTTGATCCTGAATGCCTACTGCCAGTGTTTTCTGATTACTTTATAGAGGCTAATAATTAAAAAAAAACAAAACACAACCTGCCGTGGTAGTTTCCAACAGCATGCTCTTTATGAGCTTACTCAGGCAAAGGTCTTTCCTAGCAGTCCTTTGTATATTCTGCCTGATAGCTACTCAGATATGTGACTGTTTCTGAATTCTGATTGAACAAAGTGGCATAAAGTAAGTTCTCCTAATTCTATGAAACCTTCACTAATCAGAAGTACTTGGTAAAATACAAGTATATACTCAATACATAATGGGATCTCTGCACTTTGGTCTGTTGGTAGTTGGCAGAGAAGACGAACGTTTCATGAAGACGGACTTACCCAGTGTAGCTCTGTGAAGTGACTTTCCAGCGCCTGAACAGCAGCATTGGGTGACTAAAGTTTAAAGTGCGTGATGCTTTTATTTTGCCAGGTTTCCTTTCTTAAAGCACGTGGAACGTGGATGTAGGTGTGCAGCTTTGTGCCTCCGGTTTCAAAGTTTAAATCAATGTTTTGATTTCTACATTGAACTGCGGTAGTTCCTCCTGTGACTCACGTCAGGGCAGAAACCCTGGCACAGCCTTTTTATGGACTGCCACATGCTTGACTTCATAATCATTAACATCTGTCATCTCATTTCTTTCCTGTTTGCCTTCGTCTGGCAGTGCCTTTTGTGGTTATCGTACACAAAATAATCCCCTTTGGTTCCTCTGTCCGCCTTTTGGTTTACACATCACTTTCTGGTCTGATTCTTACAAAAACCAGAACGACCCAAGAATCCCTGTGAGGGTAACAGAAGGTAAAAGGTAAAACTATTCCCCATGTCTGGGGAAAAACACTTGTAAAATTTGGTTAGCAAGAAATTCAGTGGGGAAAAACTGATGGTTTTCATTTGCATTTCTCCAGTGACTTTGTCCTTGCGTATGAGCTATTTATGCTGTGAATGTAAAGGATGAGGTTGCAGTATTTTTGGCAGGTGATAATTATAAGAAAAGACATATTTTGAAAAACTGACAGAGTTCAGTGTGCTCAAAACCATATGAGACCTGGGGATGCCCTTTTTGTCTGCCAGAATCCCCATAGGAAGTACTTTGTGACCATAGACATGCCAGTGGGTAAGACTATGGGACTGGAGACCTCAGGAGGCTGGTTCACATGGGTGTTTATTAATAAGTTTGTATGATTAGAACTTTTATAACACATATTATTTATTTCCTTGGCCCTTTGTGTGTCCTCTTTGGCAGCTGGCTGGCTTGCCAGTGTGTTCTGGCTTGGTAGGTGGGCAATTGGTGGCAAATCCCTGGGTGTGCTGCAGGTACCGACGTGGTACCAGGCAAAAAGGAGATACAGGGGATGTAACGCGTTCTGGTTTCCTGGTGATATCTCTCCTCCTTTGTATGCCTGAAAAACGATCCTCATTGTCAACTGCTGTTCTTTCAATTTTGTTTTGTAGGAATCTGAGTTTCTCTGCCTGGAGTTCGATGAGGCCAAGGTGAGCCAGATGCTGAAGAAACTCTCGGAAATAGAGGAGAGCATGACTGCCTTGACTCAGACCACTTGAGTCTTACAGCAAATAAAGAGAATTGCAACTCGGAAGTCAAACGACCTTGGTACTTTTTTATAATGCCTGTTTATACAAATAAAATACGTAATGATCTGTAAGTCCCAGTTATAACCATACAACACATTCAAAACCAAGCATGGGCTAAGTTATGCTGTGGAGACTTCTCTGACCCTTCCTCCAGGCCTGTTCTCCAAGGCAGCAGTAGTGTTGTTTGCATAAAATTTGCATAACCAAGCCCTTGAGTTTTCAGTAGCTTTTCCCTATTTTTTTCTCCCTCAGTCATTTTCTGAGTCTTCCAGGTGCTGTAAATACCAGGTGGATGGACAGCAAAGGTAAATAGGACGGTTGTGGCAGGGGGAGAACTGCATGAGGTGGCCAACCTTGCTGACCCATTGACACACACCTGCCCTGTGCCACAGAGAGCCGGGGGCAATCCTGGGAACATCTCTTGAGTGGCAGGAGGTGACACTGGTTTTCCAAAAGCCTGATCCAGTGACCTCTTTTCCAGCCAGGGAGGACTGAGCTGAAATGTTTTCAGTCTCAAAGGTTTCAGTTCAGGGCTGTGATCTTGTCCACTTTGCCACAATGGGATTAATAACCATAACTACCAGCTTATCAGGGCAGGATGACGTGGAGGAGCTGCCTGGAACATGATGGTTCCTACGGGAGAATTGCCTGAGAGTCCGTAAAATGGTGATGGAGCAGCTGGAGCGCGACACCGGCTTGCTGCTTTTGTTCCTAGCAGGAAGGCATGCTTATACATCTGGATGGTGGCTACGCTGATTCTTTCCCTTTTATCTTAGCTTTATAAGCAACTTTCCAAGCTAAAATTATGTTGTCTGCTTGTACCAAGACAGAGATGACAACATCAAATGCTCTTATGCCATTACTGAAGTACTCCGCACTGCTTCTTGTGGGTTTGTTGCTTGTGGAGTTGCCAGGTTGTTTCTGGAAGCGGGCTCTCTCTCTTCAGGGCAAGAAGGCGGCCCCTTTTCCCGTCTGCCTGGTCAGAAGGTAAAGCATCAACCAGGCCAGTTTGTCTCGTGGCATTAACATCTCCTTTCCCATGCTCATCCCACTGACTCTTAGGGCCACCTGGTTCTCTCCTCTGTCATGCGAAGGGACCACACAGCCCCGGCTCCTCGCTCTCCAAATTTAGCTGCAGCTGATCCTTGGCAGAGTGGAAGGGGCTGGGAGCACCGAGCCCCATCCCCAGCCCACTGGTAACCAGCTGCCAGCAGGGCTGTGAGGTGCTGAGTGCTTGCTGATGCTGTCGGCTTGCCACTTGCCTCTTCAGCAAAGTTCATTTAAATGTTCTTCTGCGTTTTAGTGCATGTGAAAAGAAGTAAAAAAAAATAAAAAAAAATCAAGGTCAGGGAAGGATCGTGATCTTGAGTAACTTGCACCATGTCAAACATACTTATTGTTTTATTTTAACATGGTCAGAGGATAGGAAAATGTGCTATAAATGGAAATTAAAGAGAAACAAACTGGGAACAGATGTCAGGAAGTATTATTTCATGCAGAGAATAATAAATATGTGAAATGGCTAACCAGGCAAGGAGGCTGAGGCAAAAAATAATAAAGTCGGGTCATTTAAGAAATAATTGGGTACTTTCCTAGTAGAGGTGAGACGTTAAAAAGGAGTGTGTTGGTTGTGGTTGCTGCTTCTCTTCCCAGTCCTCCTTGCCCTAAATATCTAATTCTCGTGATTTTCTTCGTGTGTCTTTGCAAACTATCATGCAAAGTTGGAAAAAACAAAAAGCAGCCTAATATTTTGGGAACCACGCTCTGCCTAGCCCTTCATAAGGGCACAGGAGTGTCACTGGGCAGCAAAATCATTTCTGCTTCACAAGGTTTGACATGGGCAGGGAAAGAGGACGCTGTGCATCCCCAGGCTGGGTGAGGAGAACAGATTTCCATGCTGAGCAGGACCGTGCCTTCCTGCCGGCATGGGTTAGGTGCGTGTCCATCCACCTGCTCCTCGCTGTGGGATTTTGAACTCATTGGCCACTTTTGGCTGGACTTGGCGGAGGAGAAGACACCTCAGATGTTGCTGTGCTCGCATCCTTGAGTGAAGGAGCCAAGTTGCCTTGTTTTTTGTTGGGATTCATGGGCATTACTTGTCCGGGTGTAAACCACAATCACCCAAATTTGTGGCTGGGACAGCTCTTCCTCTTCTTCCTCCCTGCAGGGGAGCGGCCAGGTGGCAGCGTGCCCCGAGCCACCGCTCCTGTTTCCTGCCCTGTGACCACTGTCCCGGCCCCGCCACAGCTTGCTCAGTGGCCGGGGATAGAGGTCTCCAACCAGACAAAGCTCTGGATGAATTTAACCAGGAAACCTTCCGCTTCGCTCTCTCTTTTGGCCATGAAATCAGTTCAGGCTGGCTTTCCCCAGCCATGCAATCTGCCAAATTTTCATCCTTCCTGGTTTACTAGCGACTGGAAACCAGGAACAAGTGGGACTTCCACATGGCCCTGGGCTGGGGCAGGCTTGGTTTCGATCAGAGCCCGGATATTCAGGCTGACAAATACAGATGGGGCTGAGACAGGGCGGGGAGCATCCAGGAAGGCACGGGAGCTGCGGCACCGCCTGGGTGAGCCGGGATGTTGCGAGGGTTTTCACCAGCTTCCTCCAGTCCCACTTCTGCCAGCGCTTTCCTCCTCACCCAGCCAGTGGTTCCCTGAAATCGTGGTGGATTTAACCAGTGGCAAGCAAGAGGCTGAGGCTGCAGCTCCAGCACCATGCACGTGGCTCCAGAGGTGCATCTCATCCCAACCAGGCCGAAAACTCACGAACGGCAGCCCTGCGTTGTCGCAACCTTCAGCTGAGGTTGCCTTACGCGTCGCCGAAACGCCCTGCAATTTATTCATTCAGTGACTTCTTGTTTTCTGGGAATCCCTCCAAGTTGCCACTGGTTTATGAGCTGGGGCTCCCTAAAATATCTGCCCGTGCTGTCGCCTTAAATCACGCGTTAGGCGATTGGCAAGGCTTGGGTTCGCTCTGTTTGCAAAAAGATCCCTCTCGATGCAATTTTCTTCTTTCCTGGTCCACGTATTCCCAGAATCGCTTAATTCATAGAGTATTTTTCTAGGCATATCTGAAAAAATAATTTAGGCACAGCACATTTTTCCAAATCCAAGCCAAGCAGCCGCTGCATTTCATACAGCTTTGGGCCATGTGAAACAGCAGACACATTACATTCACGTGGATTTCCTTTCCCATTGTTTGTGTTATTTTTGTCTCATTTTTTTATTCACCATTTCTCTATTTTTCTTTCTCCTTCTTACAAATCTTTTCACAAGTGCAAACACCACAATTTACATTTGTGTTTCTATTGTATTTCTTATGAAGGCTGCCGCTGCAGTCCATGACCTTTCGTCGTGCTTTATCTTGATAAACTGGTTGATATTTTGATAGATTTACTTTTCTGTACACCAGCTCCTATATTCTTTGTTATCTATTAATAAAATAAATGTTAAATAAATGTTAATAAAATAAATCACTTACCATCTCAGTAGATTTCCCGATTTGTTTACAGGATGTTTTTGGACGTGTAACTCTCCGAGAAGCTTTACGTGATGACTCACGCTTGCACCATGTCGATCGTGGAAATGTTTCCTTGCCGTTCTGGGGAATTTGAACAGTTTATTCATTTATTCCAAGTATTTACAAGAAGTTTACTCAGGCAGTGCTGGGTACAGAGGGTGCCTTTTTAAGAAGGCAGCATTGCAGGCGACAGCCCGGCCGGGGAAGCGGGGAAGGCCAGACTGCGACCCTCGGCCTTCCTCCTTGTTGTGGTGGGAGGTAGAGATGTGGCACGGGACTTCATGCCGTGGTTCATCCCCACTTTGAGCCCACGGTGGCCAAGCAGGGTTTTCAAATGAAAAGAATAAGCTGGGTTGTAGGAGAAGGTGGGGAGGATACAGAGGGAGCCTTTGGGAATGGCTCACAGGCCTCCCAGCCCCGTTTCACCGCTGCTGTACCTCAGCATGCGGGGGGCATACATTCAGCTAGGCAGAAAGAAGGCAAACTCAAGTGATTTTCACTTAAATTTCTTAAACCAGTCTGTAAACTTAAAAGAAAGACTGCTTTTAATTTGAACCATGGCCTTTGCCCCATGCAGACTTGGGCATTTTGTGTCAGCGCTGTCCTTGCCCTCTGACAGGTCCTGGCCTGGGCTCCCTGGGAGCACAAGCAGCCATTTCCGTCAACATTTTCTCCCTTCTCTGTACCAAAATAAAGCTCCTGAAGGTCACCACGCCGCTCCTGCTTGGATAGGGTTAATTTGGGGTGTTGCCTGAGCTTGTTGTCCCTGCACAAAATGGGTACAAAAGGCTGGTGCCCCGCAGCCCCATGCGACTTCCTCGCTGTGTTGGCAGCCTGGGGGGAGGAAACCTGTTAAGAAAGGAGAATTGAGGAACTGAGCCACAAATGACAACTGGCTGTGAAAAGGAAAGGCTTGGGATTTGTGGGTGCTGAAGGGTGATCCGCGAACAGGGGGAAAGCCAGCTCGTGCCCTCATCCTCTGCAGAGACCAAGTCCTGGAGGAGGTTTTCCCCAGGGTCAGAACCCCACATTCCTTGCCCTTCCTCCTGGCTTTCAGAGGTAGCAAGGCCGATCTCGAAATGCAAGAAATTGCAGGAAAACAGGTTCAAAGGCACGTCAGGAGTGCCTGCCTGGGGCTTTTGCCCCCGGGGCATGTTGCAGGTGGCCATTAGCTTTATCAGAGCAATCAGGGCATGACTGGGGCTGCCTCTGAGGGCAAAACCACAGTGCTGTGCCGCCACACAGCCAGAGTACATTGCTACCAGGTGTTTCGCCAAAGAGTTTTTGGTTTCTAACCTCTTCAGAGCACAGGTGACTTGGAGCTTTAGTTCACTTAGTGGCCAGCCATGGTGGAAGTCCAGCACTCAGCCACCTGCTGTCACAGTGAGATGGTACTGGAGAACACGTAAAGGTCGTTGAACAAATGGCATTTTGGGCTACTGGTGAGCATCTTGGATCCTCGAGGAGTGAAGTTTTGAAAATCAGGATGGGGGAAAAGCAGCAATCGCAGCATAAAACCCAAAGCCACAGTGCATCCGAGCAGAGCCCCGGAGGAAGCATTCCTCATTTGGGTTTGATGCCATGTAATTTCCCTGCCATATTTCCTACGCTTTCCAGCCAGCTGGCAGCTCTGGCCAATCCCAGCATTACCAGGAAATTATACAAAATAATGCATTTTAGTAATGAGTGGCACTCTTCCTGCCTTGCAAATTGAACCACGCAGCGCATGCGATAAGCGAGGTCCTCTGTGATAAAAGTGATTCCCCTGCTGGGTCGAGGTGCTCGCTGGGGGATGTTTGTCCCCGTGCTGGGTTGCTGGCTGCCCCGCAGCACAGCCAGCCGTGTGTGAGGGTCTTCAGAGGGTCTTCACGGCATCTGTGTCCCTGGCAGCAAAAAAGAAATTAAGCAAAGCTGTGATGGAAGGGCTCGAGCAGAGAGAGGCATGGGTCTGACTGCAGCCACCTCAGGCCTCTGCCTGCACCCCCAAACATAGCAGCCACCCCACCGCCCTCCCCAAAGCACACGGTGATGTGGAAAGCCCAACATTCCCTAAAATAAATTTGCTTCTGCCAATCCTGCCAATCTGCTTTTTTTTTTTTAGAGCCAAGGAGCACGGTGTGCACAGCTCACTCCCCCCACCGCAAGATCCTGCGGGGCAGCGGTGTGCACGAGTACAAAGATAAAAAACACCATCGAGGAGCAGCGGCTGGGAACCATAAATTCCTTTCAAGTAGTCCTTGGGCACATCAGGAGACGGAGCGAGCAAAGCAACTGGAATTTATAAACTTACATAATTAATTTTTCTTTGCGGGGAGAACAAACATTCCCATGCTCCAGCTCTCTGAGGGCCTTTGACAATTGGGCTCCTTTTTATAAATAATGTTATGTAAGTTTATACATTTCAATTAGTGCGTGTTCTGGCCCCTTGCAGCCCAAGGATGTTTTTTTCACTCTGTTTAGGCTGCGGGTAGATCATTGTGCCTTGGCGCATCTATAATGCGATTTCAATGAAGATGCTCGCGAGCAGCATGATGGTAATGAAATGGTCTCTGGACAAGATTGGCACGTCCCCAGCGAGAATGAGAAAATGCAAGAAACGAGCTTTACGTCGCGGCGGCTGACAAAATGTCTGCACCCTCCTCTGCGGGGCTGGAGCGGGATTTCTCTGCCCGCAGACACGCCGTGTGATGGCCACGGGTGGGTTTTTGCCCGAGCAGGAACATCTCCGAGATGTCCCGCAGCCCGGTTACCACAGCGTGCTGCAATCTGAGCCGGCAGAAATGCTTAAGCCCGCTGGCTTCATCCCCAGCCATTGCAAATTAGCACAGCTCCATTAACTTCGGAGGACTATTTACATGGGGAAGGTTAAATGCATGCAGGATCAAGCGCAAAAACCTGCAGCGATTTCGTTCGTGGGGCAGTGGTTTCCTAATTTACAAGGCCAGATCTCGCCCGTGCTGTGTGCTGGTTTCTGAAGTTTTGTTTATTTATACACAGCCGTGGCAGAGGGATTTCTCCATGGAGCAGCATGACGAAAACCCATTATTTACTCTGATTATGTTGCTGGTCTCAGTCCCTAAGCATATCTCCCTTCCAGCTCATTTTTTAGTAACCTGTAGCTATGAGGCTGGCTATTAAAATGAGATATGTGGGTTATTCCATTTCCCTTTCCCTCTTTTATTACTATTTATTTCTGAAGTTTATCTGCAGGCCCTACAACAACAAGGTAAGAGCTTTCTGGCCTCCTTCTTTGATATAATTCCGATAGGTGTACATATTGCCACAGAAGAAAAGCATTTTCATGTTTTCGTGATATTTCTACGACCCATTCTCACCAAAGGTGGTGAGGGGACTTGGTCTGACACAACCAGAGCAGCAACGGGACTGCACGGGGCAGGAGTTTTCCAGCCAGAGCCACGGGACCAAAACCACTGCCTGCAACCACTGCCTTGCCAGGGTCCCCAGCGAGCCAGCACAATGAGGATGCCCTGCATTTCCCTTGGGATCAAGCCCGATGAGTGCCTCCAAGGAGCTTCAGAGCAGCCCAGTTTGTCTCGCTGGGGATGTGCCAGCCCCGAGGCCGGTGGTGAAACACCCGCTGTGCCCTACGCGCCCGTGGGCTGAGCAGAACGTCGCTCCCATTGTGGCTGCAAGCTCTTTGCCAAACCTTTGGGAGTGTCTTGAAAAACCTCCTGCGTGCGGCGGTGGCTTAGCTTCCCCTGCTTGCTGACATGCCTTCCTGCTGCCCGGACAACAGCCAGCGTGGATGTCAGCATCCTTCCAGCAAGAAGACTGGCTTTAATCGGAGTTGTGTTCCCCAAGCTACAAGAGTCTGAGGGAAATCACACAGCATGGCCTCATCGAGGAGACGCCTGAAGTCAAGATGCTTTAAAAATCATACTTGCATGTGAGGACTGGCTGTTGTCCCACGGCTGGCATTTTACTGGTGCTTAAAACTACATCCTCAAAAAAAAATAAAAAATAAAAAAAAATGGAAGAGGTTCAGCTGAAGCTGGCCCAGTACATTTTTTTTTTTTCCTAAGTGTAAACTGTTTTCTCACCTTTGAAGAGACTTGGCTGCAGCCTCTGCTGCCTGGCAGATTTCGGTTTTGCAGCTCCTCGGGTCTTGCTGCAAAACCCTGTGGGATGCCTCTGAACTGAGGCAAGGAGAGGCATAAGATGTTAACTTTTCCAGGACTGAAAAAAGATGTTATGTGCATAGCGGGTGTGGTTTTGTTGCTGTTTGCAAAATAATTATTGTCCAGTTTCTGCTCATACAGAAGCTGAATTTCAAGTGGATTCTTCTCCATCCCATTGCCTGCGCTGCTGTGCCTCTGATCTGCAAGGAAAGGGAGGAAAACACTATAGGTTACTGCAGCCTTTGTCTAGAAAAGGCAGGTATGCCCTTCTGGAGCATTCACTTTAATCCAGCAGCTCAGGGAGTAATTATTCTTGGCAAACGTGAATCAATGAGAGCATGACACAGCTCTGCCCATGGCGCACAAGTGGCAGTACACAATGCAGCAGGGACAAGTTCTCTTCCACCACTGCTATCCTGCCCAATTTGCCTGCAAGAGCAAGCTGCAATGCTCCAGAAAAATAATTAAAATATATAAATAAATACCATGGCGCTCCAGGAAACACGGATGGATGTGCAGATCCCTTCAACTCGAGTGGTTTTGCCCGAGCTGAATATGCTATCCTCATCGCCCTCATCTCACCGAGGCATGAAAGCAAAGGGAACGGGAGCAAAACAGCTCTGCGGGGCTTGCTCTTGCCGTGCTGGTTTGCACGAGAGGCTTGGTAGGGGAAGAGGGGGAAAACTGCAGTGTGAGGAGACCACTGAAAAGTTGTGTTTGTGTCGCCGACAAACCGTGCTGGTAAACTTTGCCTGCCCTGGGAGAGGCTTTTTGTTTGGCTGAATTCCAGGCTCGAGCCATCTGAGTGGGAAAACAGGCTGGTTCC